CGTGAACTCCTCTGCTTTCCGCCGGACGTTCCTCTGACACGCGAGGTATAGATGTCCTGTGCGTTGGGTGGACGATTCCAGAATGTCTGTCGTCAACGCAGAGTACATGACCTCCTTCCCGCAAAGACGATGTAACTGGTCACAAAGTGCTCTCCCCTACTGTAAAATCATCCCGCCACGGGGAGACCCGGTAGTGCAACCAAGGCTCCCCCAATTCGTGGAGGTTTGCGATTCCCGCTTCCCGGCAAGATTTGATCGTTTCGTCAAACCGCTCTTCATTGGGGCAGTACCGGTGGATCAAAACGTACCCGGTCATGAATGGTGCCCGCCTCCTACAACCACTCGTGGAAAAAAACGTTTGAAATAATTCGGCCCATTCATGTACATGTATTCGCTGTATCCCTTCATTCTCGTCCGTGAACATTCGAAAATAGAGCCTCATGCCAGCTCTCGGCCATGGCACGGCCAGGGGGGTTATGGAACTTCGTGGCTTCCTCCTGCCCCCGTACTACAACTCTGCTATGATGTCGCGTTGGGAGTGGAACCCCATCATCTCGTCCATCAATAGCAGAGCGCGACTTATTGTCTCTGTAATGGCCTCCTTCGGCGGGAAGGGAGTTTTCTGAATGGCCCAGATGTTTACCTCTCCTGAGTTCGGTAGAGCAACGGTCTCGGACTGCGTGTAGCGCGTCTGCATCATTGCTTCAAGAGCGCTCAAAGTCGCTCTGATAAGTTGTCCCGTGGATGATAGCTCGTGCGATTGTAGGAAGGCTGCCTCCCGTCGTCCAACCAAAAACCGTCGCCACACCAGTCTGATTTGTAGGTTGGCGAAACATTGTGTTTCCTTGCAACACACAGTGTCACGAAGTTACTGACTCTCTGTTGCGACGCGTCGCCCAAACGAGCGACAGCATCTCTCCACGTTACGCGCCACTACTGGTCTGCGGCCGCAATGACGCTCAGTCGCTCAATTGGCTCGGCCTCGTAAGAGGTCAGCTCACCGGCGTCTGCTATCCAAGGCGACTCTGCGAAACTTGGCCAATGCGGGGTCAGCAGTGCCGGTCCGTGCCAACCCGTACAGGGTTTCTACAGCGGCGAAATTGAAGGCTGAAACGAGCCAAGGGTAGCCAATGAGTATAGAGGCAGTGTCAGGGTCGGTGGCCGTGATACTTCTAAGGTGAGCGAGACCTTCCGTCTCCCTCTGCGTGATGCCGTTTCCGCTTCCACAGGCCGACATCAAGGTAGCTGTCAATACGCACAACAGAGCGACCCGATGAAGCGCCGGTGGCCAATACTTTGTAAGAAAGCCCCTTACCATACGTCCCAACTATTGCCTGCAGCGGGGTATTGCGGTGAAGGTCCGCCACCCAATAACATTTCTTGCTTGTATGCGTCGGCGCGAAGCCGTCAGACGATGTTAAAAATTGTATGGGCTCCAAGGTTGGTGGTAGACCGAGAATATACGGTCGGCCCGCAGCAACGAGGCTAGGGTGTGCTCATCCACCAAGCCCGCTCGGGAGAGTGTGGTGAAGCTCACACCGCCCAAGTAAGCCGCCAGAGCGGCAACCGTAAGCGTCAGATCGGGGGAAGACTCCGTGGCCCGACAAACGGCCCCTTCGGTGCGAGGCATGGCCCCTCGGTTGAACGCCTGTTGTTTCCCAGGGCTGTGTTTCTCCCGCACTTCCATCACGAGGCGTCCGGCTTCCATGTAGTTTCGGAGTTCTAGCGCGGCGGCCACGTCGACGAGACCAGCCACAACCCATCTCGAGTGGAGCGCTGCAACCGGCGCGGGTCGGCCAGCATCCACGGCAGAGGGTCGTCCACGTGCCGCCTGACAGCCTCGGTTGTGCGGATGAGGTCAGTGTCGAAACAGAACCGCCACAACGCGGAGTTTGCCTCTCGGGTCGTCGCCATCAGCTCGTTTACGGTCAGGGTTCCGCTGCCTGTACGATAGTTGGCATATCCGTCGGGATGCGCTTCTTCTGCGTCTTCCATTAGGCACGTAAAACAGGCCTCACTTGCCGCCCTCCCGATGCTCCCGTGCTTGCGAGTCCCTCTCCCATCGGTATGCAGACCTCTGAAACACGCCACCCGCCCCTCTGCTCTCTACCGGAACACATCGATATGAAGCTCTTGTCCGTGTCTGCAGGGTTGCTCGAGGGGACAGCGGAAAACGATGGTTGTGTCGGCTGACTTGTCGTGTATTGGCCGTGGCGTAGCGTTGTGCTGTCTCTCAATGTTCGGGGGGGGTTCTCGGGGTGGAAGAGGTGCTTCGGGGGGGCGCTGGCCGTAGCCCCGGAATCTGCATAAAGTCACGCTCTCTGAGTAGAAAGGGCTGACATGGTCTTTCCCCGCGCGTATTCACGTCGTTGACTGCGGCCGGGGGTGTTCCAATCATTCCGTATCGGTGGGCAACGCGCATGGGCGACGCCGGTGATTAGGCGCACCCGCCACGTTGGCCGAGCGCCGCAACGTCGTTGCTTCCCTCCTCCGGCACGACATTTCCACCCTTGGAGTTGTAGAGCCGCCCACGATGTCCCCTCCATCGAACAGCAGACGATTGGGGTAGGTCAGATCGAACTTGGGACGCACACCGGAAAGGGTCGCTGGTACGGCTAGCCGGTTCCCGTAAGCCCTGGCTTCGACGCGCACCCACTGCTCGTGACGTCCTCTTCGGTTACGCTCCCCCACCTCCAACATCGCGTCCCAAGGTATTCGGCGTGTCTCCAATGCGGGATCTGGGTGTCCAGTGTGGTCACAGAGACGGGATTATAGGCACTATCCGCTAGTTCAGACATGACAACGCCGGGGGGGGAGGGAAGTCGGTGCTTCGAGCCACGTAGTCTCGGGTCCTCTCTTAGTTGTGTAAGTGCTCGTCAAGGCGAAGTGTGGGATGGGAAGGGATTATTTAGATATAAAGAGGCCTCTAGACTTGGTCTGAGTCGTGGCTTATCTCGCCGAACTTTTGCTAGCCAAGAATCCCATTATGGCTGTCAAAGCCCCTAGGGCGACAAACATCCCGGCCACACACCCGCAACGGAACCAAATCTACCTCGGGACTGGTTGCATCTCGCCCCTTGAGTCGGGCTAGGTCCTCTTGGTGGGTGGCCACTTGCTCTTATATGTGTCTCTGAGCGTGTGAGATCGCTCATCGTTCGTCAGTCCATAGGTTTGCACTGCCGGGGGCATCGAGTGCGAGACCGTACATTGGGCTTGGCGTGTGGGGGGTGGTGCAATGCTCACGGCGGGCCCGAGCCGGCGTCCACGGGGCGACGATGTCACAGTGGCGCGCGCTGCGTATCGGCTGTCCGCTACGGCTGCTCGTCTGATGAGACGAGAGCTCCGTCCGCCAGCTGTATGACGCGGCTGCTGATTTGTGCGACGTTCCGGTCGTGGGATGCCGCGATTACGGTGACGCCGCGTTGGGACGTGATCTCACGCAATATCTCGGAGATGGTCGACGCTGTGTTGCTGTCCAGTTTCGCCGGTAGGCTCGTCGGCGAAGACCACCTGGGGATTGGAGACCAGCGCCCGTGCGATGGCCACCCGCTGCTGCTCACCGCCCGATAGCTCGTAGGGCCGATGACGGCTGCGGAGGCCCAGCCCCACCAGTTCGAGAGCTTCCAACGCTCGACGTCGTCTCTCGCGCCAAGACACGCCGCCGATATGCAACGGCAGCTCCACGTTCTCGTAGGCAGATAGCAGTGGCATAAGGCCGAAAGACTGGAATACGAACCCGATCTTGTGGCGCCGCAATTCCACCAAGGAGGCGTCGGGGATTGCCGACAGGTCTTGCCCGTCGAACAGGACGTGCCCTGCGGTGGGCTGGTCCAGCCCTGCTAACAGGTTCAGGAGAGTCGTTTTGCCCGACCCGGAGCGTCCGGTGACCGCTAGGAATTCCCCCGGAAAGACGTTTAGGTCGACTTCCTGAAGGGCAACGACTCTCTGGTCGCCGGAGCCAAAGGCCCTTGTGATACCTTGAGCTGAGATGAGAGAAGGCCTGTTGCCGTCGCGGTTGGCGGTCACTTGTCCTCCGACGGACTGTCCTGCTCGCTGCGTGCGGGAGCCGTAGTTGGTGGCTCGAGGTTACCGTGCGCTCGGCGATGTCCGCCTTGGCCAAGCCCTGCAGTTGTAGCTGGGACATGTAGTCTTGGGGCAGTTGCAGCCGTCCCGCTTCGTCCACCACCAAGTATTCCCGCAGTACGTTCTCGCCGTCCTTCTGGAACGTGGGCTCTAGGAAGCTTTCGGAGCTTATACGGCCGTCACGGATGTGGATGACCCGGTCCACATGCTCGGCCACCCCTGGATAGTGGGTCACCATGACAACCGTTACTCCGAAGAGTTGGTTGATGCGACGCATAAGGTCGAAGATGCGGTTGGCATTATCCGTATCCAGTTCGCCTGTGGGTTCGTCAGCCAGCAGCAGGGGCGGTGAGTTGGCCAAAGCGACCCCGATGGCCACCCGTTGCTGCTCCCCACCGGAAAGCTGCTGGGGGTACCTGTCACCCTTCTCGGTCATGTCCAAGGCAGCCAATAGCTCCAAACTGCGACGGTGGCGCGAGGCGATGTCGGCGCCAGCCAGGGCGAGGGGCAACTCGATGTTGTCTTGAGCCGTGAGGTAGGGCACCAAGTTGCGGCCCGTCGCCTGCCACACGAAGCCGACCTCCAGCCGCCGGTAGCGCACCAACTCCCTATCAGGCATGTTCAACAGTCGCGCTCCACATCACTGCCCTGCTGAGTCGGTCAGCCCGATAGAGCGTTCAGCAGGGTGCTCTTGCCGCTGCCGCTGGCACCGACGATGGCCGCTACCTCACCCGTGCGCACGGTGAGGTCGACGCCCCGCAGGGCCACTACCTCAAGCTCCGCCGCTTGTATATCTTGAACAGGTCACGGCAGCGGATGTAGGGCTTCCTGTTCTCAGTCTCGCCTCCCGCACTTGCCTGAGGCCTTGTCGTCAAAAAGCTCCCTTCAAATGCCTGTTCAGGGGAGTCCCTCACGCCTCTCCCATGCGAAGGACCCGCTGCACATCCAAGCGGGCGGTCAGCCAGGAGAGCCACAAGAAGCTCGCCAAGGCCGCTCCAACCAGTATGGCGTAGGACACCAGCAGGGTGGTCCAGTCGGTCTGCAATATCATGGGCGGGGTGACACGCGCCCCCTCTTCCGCTACTTCGAGTAAGGGGAGGATGCTGCTGCCTATCAGCTGGCCCACCCAAGTGCCCAGCCCCATGCCAAAGACTACCACAACCAACAGAGGAGACCATACGGCGACATTGAGTTGTGCCTTGGAGAAGCCCAGTGTCCGCAGCACCGCGAGCTCCGTACGTCTCTCTGGGTGTCGATGTAGCAGAAGAGGACGATACCGGAGACTCCCGCCACCACCAGTGCTAGGAACATGAGTACGATCAACCCTTTCCTGCCAGCGCTAATCAGTGGTGTGTCCACTCGCTCGCTGACCGCCTCTGAGGCGACCATGGTGCCCCTGCTCAGCAGGCCCTTCTCCCGCAAAGTTGGAGCGACGAACTCCACGTCCTGATTCTCATCAGCCAACTGCAGCCACAGCTCGTTAGCCCCGCCGACCGGGCGTGAGCATGGGCATTGGCGTACTGGATGAATGCCTGACGGTCCACCACCTGCGAAGGGTCGATGCCTAGGGTCTTCCAGCGTGGGGAAGAAGTCGGCCACGGCGACAGCCTCAAGCTCGATGGCGAACTGGGACAGGCCGACCTTGAAGACCTCGCCTTGGTTGCCTCCTGCTTCTTCCAAGAAGGATGGGCTTACCAACGCCCGCAGAGGTCCTCTCCGAGGGACCTGCCCGGATGCCCTTCAGCCCAGCGCCGCCCACGGACCAAGTGAAGGCAGCGGAACCTCCACTGCCCCTCTGGGAAATCGAGTCGATGTAGTCCAGTTGGTATAGGCCAGGTCGAGCGTAGTCTTCCAAGGTCTGCCAGGAGGCTAGGGATCGACCGTCGGCCACCATGGTTCGGCCTGCGGGGCTGACGGCCTCCACCCGGTCGATGAATATCACACCCGGTTCCCCGAAGCCGCGGAAGGAAGATATATGCACTGCCAGCAGAGTGAAGGGCGGGTACACGGGCGGCGGCGGCGACGCTGCCTGCGGAAACGCCGTGTCAGTGGAATAGGCGTCATTCTCTCCGTCGAGTTGCTGCCACCCGTTCGGTTCAGGATACCGAGGTCTATGTCGAAGTGGTAGCCTCGCGAGTCCTTGAGCCGTGCCCGGAGCGATCCGAACGAGATACGCCGGTCGGTGCGCAACCATACCGCCAGCCCTTCGGTATCCGGTCAACTCCAACCCGTCGCCGCCCGCCCCTGTCATTCCATCCGGCCCAATGCCCCCAAGAATCTGGCCCATAGTCTGGCCGTTGGCAAAGTCGGGCCGGTACCAAGCCGTGTCGCTGAAGGACGATGCGTCCACCGCCAGCAACGAGAGACGTGTGGTGTTGAGCCCTTGGGATAGCAGGTGGCCAGCTGTGCGATGCACCTCAGCCCCGCTGGTGACGGCGTCGTCGGGCATGGCCGTCGAAAGATGGTGCTCGCTGAGGGGCAGGTTGTCGCCGGAGTGGCGCACCCGCACATCGGCGCCGACCTCGTACATGGCGCGTTCCACTTGGCTGCGTTCCAAGGTGGAGCTGAAAGAGCTGCCTATCACGCCCAGAGCCGTGGCTAGGGCCACCAGCACCACCAGTGCGCCGGGCACCACTGGGTCGCGGGACACGCGTCTGAGACCTTGGGTCAACCAAGGAGGGGCTACGGGCGCCGACAAGGCAGCAAGGGCCCTCATTACCAGCGGGAACAGGCGCATCACCACCAGCCCCAAGGCCACCAGCCCCAAGGCAGGCCCCAAGAGCAGGCTGTAGTCCAACTCCAAGCCTCCCCCTACTGGCCGCACCAGGAAGGCGCCGCGGGCCTGTATCTGCCACCACAGCAACCCGATGACCGCCAGTAGGGCGATGTCGAGGTAGTAGCGTTGGAGGAAGGGAGTCGTGGGAGGGCGGGCGCCTGTCTGGCGGTAGTCCACGATACTCTGGCGGGAACCCACCAAGGTGGCGATGGTCAGGACAGCAATGGCTATCAAGCCTCCATGGCCCCTGCAGAAGGAGAGTCCCGACGGGAATAGGGGTATCAGGTCGTTCACTGGGCCGAAGTCGAAGAAGAGCGCTCCGAGGACGCGGGCCAGCAGCAAGGCTAGGAAGGGGCCAATGATTATGGCTGGCACGGCCAGCAACATGCCTTCGAAGGCGGACAGCAGCCCCAGTTGCGGCGTGGTGGAGCCGCGGCTCTTCAGCATCGAGATTTCGACTGCCCGGGTCTTCAACAGCAGCCCAGCGGCCAACGCCAAGTAGTACATGAGGATGCCGTTGACCAGAAAGACCATCAGAAAGAGCGGTACCCGCGCCAGCAGCAGTTGCTCGTCGTAGTCCTCTATCACCGTCGCCAAGCGCGTGGAAGCTGAACCGTTGGACAGGCCGGACCGCATACCATGCTCCGCGCCCCGTATTGCAGCCTTGATGCCGTCGAGGTCAGCGGTACGCACGCCGTGGCGGTCTAGGTAGAAGAACCAGGTTACCTGGCTGTAGAGGTCCGGGTATTCGCGGCCAAGAACGGTCAGCAGGGCATCCTCGGTGGTGAACATTGGAGTGGTCTTCCACTCGTCGTTGTCAAAGCTGAAGGCCCGGTTCGCCCCATACCAGAACTCGTCTTCGGGATCGACACGACGGAAGGCGCCCACGATGTGAACGCGGACTCTGTCCGCTTGGTCCACGGTTGTGGCGGGGAAAATTTCCATAGTCTGCCCTACGTCCAGTTGAAGGAACTCCAACCCCTGTACGTCGACCGCCACTTCCAGTTCCCGCAGGTCCAAGCTCGGGGCTGAGGCGCCCTCTTCGTAGGGCCAGCGGCCCTGCACTATATCCACCCGGTCCGGCAGCATGCCGGTCATGTGTTGCACCTTGCCCCGCGGACGCTCCGGCGAATCTATTCCGAGATGAGGGTGTCCCGCAAAATAGAAGGTGGACGTCTGCAGTAACCGCGCCTCGTCGGCTAGGTACGGTAGAAAGCGGTAGGCCACTTCCGTCTGCATGACGTAAAGGGCCGTGGCGTAGTCGTTCTCCACCAAGGGGTCGCCGCTGGAGTTGTCCAACCCGTAGAACGTGCGGGCCGAGATGTTGGTGTCCTCGTAGGGGGCCTCATCCAGAGCGTTGCGCAGGGCTGCCTCGGCCAGCAGGTCGGAGAAGGCGAGGCTGCTGGACACTAGGATATGGCCATCAGGATGCCTAGAAACAGGGCAAGTTCCAGCCCCAGTTTGCTAGGGCACGACGGGCAGCCACGTTCCATGCCAGGTTCAAGAAAGAAGTCACGCTCGAACCGCGCAAGGGCATCTCAGGACGCCCTGAGCACATCGGCCGCCTTGAGACGGCTTGCGGATATCACGGCGATGACGACAGCCAATGCCAACGCGAATGCCAGCTCGACAAAGGTGAGACCTATTAGCCATGCGTGGGCAGTGACCTCATCGGTGGAAGCAGGTCGCGTCCGTGGGGTGATGTCCAAGTAACTGAGCACCCAAGGCCCAAGGCCCAAGCCCAAGATAACTCCAGCCCCGATGCCCAGCACGGCCACCACGACACGCTCTAGAACCAGCCCCATCATCATCTGGCGTGTGGACAGTCCGAGGGCGCCAACCACCGCTAGGTCCACTCTGCCACGGTACACCGATATGGCGGCATGGGCACCCAGAACGAGAATAGCTGCGACGGCCAACGCGCTGACGCTGAGTATGGTGAGCCCCGCCCAACCGCCGCCCGCCAGCGGGTCGCGCTGCGCCCGATCGACTGAGGCCTGCCTGTCGCGAATCAATGCAGAGGGAGGAAGCTCTTGGCGCAGGGTACTGATACCTGCTGCCCGGTCTTGGTCTTCATGCAGGGCCAGCCAAAACTGGTTGGGCCTCTTGGGATGCCTCCAGGGATGCGGTCCAGATACGAGACGTACGCATCCAACGGGATAATGACGAAGGGACGCACACCGGGGGTCAGGGTGGGGAAGAAGTCGGTGGTGTCCTGCACCGCGATGGGTATTCGGCGCTCGTCAATCTCCATCACCGTCTCGGTGCCAGGTTCTAGGCTAGGGCCTCCGATGGCAGGTATTGGCCAAGGGCCGGGAGGTATCACGACTCCGCGCACGGCAGTAGTCAGCGGCTCCTGCCACGATAGGGTCAGCATGCTGCGCTCGCCCTCTTCCTCCGGTAGTACCAGTTGCACGGTGTCGCCTTCCGGGCCTCCTTGGTTCATTGCTCCCCACAGGCCTGGCTCGTCGAAGTCCTCGATTACCATGCCGGAGGCTGGCAGGCCCGGCCCTTTGATCGTGATTTCATCGAAACTGAGGCTTCCTGGCGGGGTCTGGGTGAAGGCGGTACGGCTCATGAAGATGGCGATTATTCGATAAGGGGGATGGGAAGAGCGCGACTGCGGGGGCAAGGCCGTCTCCAAGTAGGTCCAACCGTCCCTTCCCTCGCCTTCCTCCATTTCCTCAGCACGTCTCACGTTGCCCCACCGCACGTCGCGACGGAACCCAGACGAGTCGACCAGCCTAGCCCAGACGCGCACGTCTCGCCCGCTAGGGTCTATGCCCAAGTTCTCTCCTCTAGCCCAGACCCCCAGACGCCGTGCTTCCAAGGGTATCGGGATGCCCTGCCGCGGGTCCTCCTCTACCCCCAAAAAGCGGAAGTCCGGCGGGTGCAACGGGGCCAGCAACTCGTCCAACTCTTTCCCAGCAAAGCTCTTGCGGAACCAAGCTGTCTCCACCAAGGTGGACGGCTCGACCACCAAGGCCAAGGCAGGAGATATGGCGAATCCATCGTACAGCAGAAGGGGCTCCCGGATCACAGGGCTGACTATTCGGGGAACCTCGGAGACGGACAAAGCTCGTGCTGCTCCTGGGTTCAGGGGGCTGGCGTGCACCACCACGTCACCACCGATGGCGTACTGCTGCTGTTCTCGCTGGCTCTGGGACAGGCTCGATTGGAAGACTGCGCCGAATACACCCAGTGCCGTCGCCATCATCAGGATGATGACTAGGGAGCCGTAAGGCAGCGGGTCACGGGCCACCCGCGACAGTGAAAGGCCCAGCCAAGCGGGGCCAGCGCGGTCGGCAGCCCACGCTAGAAACCGTCACTGTCAGTGGCATCACCCGCAGCATGAGAAGGGCCGCCGTAAGCACGACTAGAGCCGGTCCGAACAGCAGTGTTGGGTCCACGTCCAGCGCTCGGCCCAGCAGGTCGCGGTCAAGGAAGCTCCCCTGCCTGTATCTGCCACCACAGCAGGCCCAAGGCCCCCACCGCTAGGAAGTCGATGTAGTAGCGTTGCAGGAAAGGTACGCTGGGAGGCCTTGCCCGCTCCCGTAGGTAATCCACTACCCCCAGCCGCATCAGCCGGATCTCCGACAACACCAGCACCAAGAGGCTGAGGATTCCTCCCACTGCCGATAGTATAAAGGCCTCTGCCGACAGCCCAATGACCAACGGGTCTTGGCCTATCTGCAAGGGGTTAATGGTGCGGGCCAGTATCCCCCGCACCACCAGCAGCGCGAGGAAAGGGCCGACGGCGATGGCAACAAGCGCGATCACTCCCTCGGCCGCCATCAGCAGACCGCCGATTTGCACAGCACTGGCCCCGCGGCTGCGCAGGAGGCTGGCCTCCTCGCGGCGTCGCGCCGACAGGAACCCCGTTGCTACTGCTAGGAAATAAAGAGTGACCAAGGCGACCAACGAGATGAACAGGAACAGAGGCACCCGGGCTAGGGTCAGCTTGCGTTCGTACTCCCTGAACCTGTTTTCCAAGCCGCTTGTGATAATGGAACGGGGGTACACCCGGTTGATGTCCAGCTCCAAGCCATGCAGAGCATCTCGGGTGTGTTCGATGTCGGCTGTGGTCAGGCTTGCCACGTCTAGGTAGAAGTACCAGCCGAAGTTGCCGACAAGTGTGGGATAGCGTTCTCCCAGCCCGCCGAAGAAGTCCTGCTCCCGCACGAAGAAAGGCACCTGGATGGGCTCGGCACCGCTGATTTCAAAGTATGATGTGTAGCCCATCCAGAACTCGTCACGGCGGTTGATGGGCTCGGCGATACCGACGATGTGCAGTGTGATGCGCTCGGTGGGAGTGGAGTAGAAGGGGAGCAGGTTCACCTCGGAGCCGACCTCCAAGGCGAGCCCGCCAGCTGCGTTCATTCCCAACACCGTCTCCATCACCAGACCCTTGTCGTGCAGCACCGGCTCCGCCTGCGGCCACCTGCCGGCTACCAGCCGGGAATGCTCCTCGAAACCAGTGAGGAAGAACATGCGGGCTAGGGGGTCTTCCGGCTCTGCCTCGCGGACCTGCGGCCCCACTAGCATGGGCATGTGGGGAGGCGTGTTGCCGAACCGCTCGGTGTCCTCCATCAGATAGCCCAACCGGGTGTTTGCGATGCTCTCCACCGTGTTGCGCAGCTTGGGGTAGGCCCCAGGGGCGAGGGGCCGGTCTTGGGCCAGCACTTGGGCGTTCAACACCCACTGCACCGACGAAGCTAAGGTGTGGCGTAGCCCGCCCTCGGAGAGGGCTTGAGAGTAGACCGCGCCCACCGAGAGCACAGTGGCAGCGGCTAGAATGCCGAAGGCGCTGACGGCCAGAAGTTGCCAAGACGACTTGAGCCGCCTAGGCAACAGCCAGACCAGCAGTCGCGCGGAGTTCATGCCCTAGGGCCCAAGTCGCCCAAGTCGAAGAGATGCACGCCAAGCCCGGTAGGGCAGGGTAGTAGGTCAAGGCGGTCCGTGGCCTAGGGGGCGTGCCAGCGCAGGTTGGGACGTCGCGACGCCGTGGCCTCGTCCAACCGGGAAACGGGCGTGTTGTGCGGGGCCATCTTCACCAATGAAGGGTCGTCTTCGACCTCTCCGGCGATGGCCTTCATGGCGTCGATAAAGGCGTCTAGGGTCTCCTTGGTCTCCGTCTCGGTAGGCTCGATCATCAGCGCTTCATGCACAATCAGGGGGAAGTACATGGTGGGAGCGTGGAAGCCGTAGTCCAAGAGTCGTTTGGCGATATCCAGCCCCTTCACACCAGCGGGTGCTTGGGCTCTAGCCGAGAATATCACCTCGTGCATGCAGGTGCGGTCGTAGGGCAGGTCGAAGGTGTCTCGCAAGCAGGCTAGCAGGTAGTTCGCGTGGAGTACAGCGTCGCCCGAAACCTGCTTCAGCCCCGTGTTGCCTAGAGTCCGTATGTAGGAATAAGCGCGCACCAAGACGCCAAAGTTGCCATGGTGTCCGCTCAGCTTACCTATGCTTTTTCAGGGCGGCCAAGGGTATAGCCCGCGTCGTCGTGCTGGACCACCGGGGTCGGCAGGTAGGGGAGAAGTGTCTCCACTCACGCACCGGCCCCGCGCCGGGACCGCCACCGCCATGGGGCGTGCTGAAGGTCTTGTGCAGGTTGAGATGTACGACGTCGAACCCGAGGTGGGCAGGCTTAGCCCGGCCCAGCAAGGCATTCATGTTCGCCCCGTCGCCGTACACCAGCCCGCCCGCTTTGTGCACCGTCTGGCAGAGCTCTAGGATATTAGTGTCGAACAGGCCCAGCGTGTTGGGCAGGGTCAGCATCACCGCAGCGAGTCGGTCGTCTGCCACATCTTCCAATGCGCGAACATCCATGTTGCCGTCGCTGTCGGAGGCGACGCTGACCACGTCGAAACCGGCCATAGCCGCCGAAGCAGGGTTGGTGCCATGGGCGCTGTCGGGTATCGCCACGATCTTTCGCTGGTTCTCGCCGCGGTCTCGTAGGCAGGCGCGTACCATCAGCATGCCGGCCAGTTCGCCGTGGGCGCCCGCCAGCGGGGCGAGGCTGACGCCTGTCATGCCGGTGATTTCGGCGAGGAAGGTCTGAAGCCGGTGCATCATGGCCAAGGCGCCCTGCACCGTGTCGTCGGTCTGGGATGGATGTATCCGCGCCATCCCGGGCAGGAACGCTATCTCGTCGTTGACCTTGGGGTTGTACTTCATGCTGCAACTGCCCAGCGGATAGAAGTGGGTGTCGATCCCGAAGTTCCGCTGGCTCAGCAGGGTGAAGTACCGCACCACTTGGGGCTCGGTTACTTCAGGCAGTTGCAGGTCTTCCCGCAGCAGCGAGGCATCGGGAAGCTCTCTTGGGCTGGCACATCCAGTGGTGGCAGCACCGAGCCGACCCTGCCGGGTGTGCTCTGGTCCATGAGCAGAGGCAAGCTGCCGGAGTTCAAAGGGGCGCTCACGGCTTGAACTCTGCCAGTGCGTCTACCAAAGAGTCGATTTCCTCCCGGGTGTTGACCTCGGTGACGCAGAGAAGCATCCCGTTGGGGAAGCTGTTGCCGATGTCGAGGCCGCCGATGATGCCGTGCTCCAGCAGGTGAGCGTTGATCTCGCTGGCGGGGGCTGGGCAGGTGATGGGGAACTCGAAGGCGAAGGTCCCCTTCAGAGGCAGGCCATAGCCCGGGAGCGAGGCGATGCTCCCCGCGGCGTAGTGGGCCTTGTGGTAGGCCTGCTCCGCAACCTGGCGCAGTCCCCGCTTGCCCAAGGCCGCGGTGTAGATTGTAGCGGCTAGAGCCATCAGGGCTTGGTTGGTGCAGATGTTGCTGGTGGCCCGCTCGCGCCGGATATGTTGCTCGCGGGTGCTTAGGGTCAGAACGAAGCCCGGTCGCCCGTCCCTGTCAGTGGTGCCCCCAGCCAAGCGACCAGGCATCTGTCGCAGCAGGGCTTGGCGGGTGGAGAAGAGGCCGACGTAGGGGCCGCCAAAGCTCAACGGTAGCCGAGGGCTTTGACCCTCGCCAGTCACCATGTCAGCCCCGAAGCTGCCCGGAGGCCGTAGCATGGCCATTGCCACCGGGTCGGAGGATACCACCATCAAGGCCCTGACAGCGTCGGACATATGCCGGTACCGCTCCAAGTCTTCGAGGTACCCAAAGAAGTTGGGGTACTGGGACACGAGACAAGCCGTCTGCGGGTGCAGCTCCGTCGCCTCGGGGTCCACTGTGGCGATTTCCAGACCTTGGGGCACACAGTAGGTCTCCAGCACCTCTCGATAGGCTGGCGAGATGGTGTTGCAGACGCCTATCAGGCTGCGTCCCGTGACGCGACAGGCCATCAGGGCAGCCTCGGCCAAGGCGCTGGCCCCGTCATAGAGGCCAGCGTTGGCCACCTCCATGTCGTAGATACTGCAAATCATCGACTGAAACTCGTAGGTAGCCTGCAGCGTCCCTTGGCTGATTTCTGGCTGGTAGGGGGTGTAGGAGAGTCAGGAACTCGCCACGACTGATCAGGGCCCGCACCACGCTGGGGGTGAAGTGGTTGTAGCCCCAGCACCTAGGAAGCAGGCATACTCCCCAGCGTGACGGTTACGAGAGGCGTAGGCATCCATCTCGCGTCGTAGTTCCAGTTCCGACAGGGGGCCTGGCAGGTCCAGCGTCGGATTGCGGTAGTCGGCGGGGATGTCGGCAAACAGGTCTTCCAATTCGGCCACGCCGATGGCCTCTAGCATCGCGCTTTGGTCGTCCTCAGTGGTGGGGAGATAGTGCGAGCGCCAAGAGATATCCGTGCCAAGGTCTACCATAGGTGTCTCCGGCTCCGGCCTCTCAGCCCGAGCGCTTCCTGGAATAGAAGGGTAGGGACACGACTTCCGCCTCCACTGAGTCGCCGCGAATGTCCACGTCCAGCAGTTGCCCTGCATCCGCCAACTCGGGTGGCACGTAGGCCATAGCAATGTTGGCGCGCAGAGTCGGTGAGAAGGTGCCGCTTGTGACTACACCCACTTCTGTGGCTTGGTGCAGCACCCGGTGTCCGTGGCGGGCCACCGACCGGCTCCGAACATTCAGCCCTGCCAGCACCCGCGTGATTCCTCGGTCCTGCTGTTGCAGCAAGGCGTCACGGCCTCTGAAGTCTCCGTCCATATGCACGTAGCGTTGCAGGCCAGCCTCAAAGGGAGTTGTGGTGGCGTCCATGTCTGTACCATGCAGACGCAGACCAGCTTCCAAGCGGAGTACGTCCCGTGCGCCCAGCCCGCAGGGTGCGGCCCCAAGCTCCATAAGTCGGCCCCATACCTGCGGTCCTTGCTCTGATCTGACTACCAACTCGACGCCATCCTCGCCCGTATAGCCTGTCCGACTGATGATTGCGTCGCTGTCGTCAATGGTCGTTTCCACGATGCCGAAGGGCCGGGTGATCGGGCCTTCCAACCCGTCTTGGCCCAGCACGGAGAGCAGGATGGCCTCGGCAGACGGCCCCTGCACCGCAATGAGGGAAGTCGCAGTGGTCCGGTCGTCAGAATGAGGTCACTGAGGCCGCCCCTCATCAGGGTATCAGCGGCCCTCCACCACTTTCTCGCGGTTGGCCGCGTTGCATACTAGGAGGAAGCGCTCCGGTGCGAGTCGAGCCACCACCACGTCGTCGACAATGCCGCCTGCCTCATTGCAAATCATGCAGTAGCGGCAGCGGCCTGCGCCAGCGCGGCCACATGGCCGTGAGCAGCTTGTCCAGAAGAGCCTCAGCTTGGTGGCCGGAGATGAACAAGCGTCCCATGTGGGAGACGTCGAATATGCCGGCACCGGAGCGCACTGCCCTCGCCTCGGCGAGGATGCCCTTGTACTGCAAGGGCATCTCCCACCCGGCGAAGGGCACCAATTTCGCCCCTATATCGACATGGCTCTGGAACAGGCCCGTGCGTTTCAGGCCCGTGTGATCCAGGGATCCACCCGTGGTCATGCGCCTGCTGGCCTACCTTCCGCCAGAACTGGAGCCCGGCCAGTTGGCGAAGGTGGCGAAGTTGGGGGCAGAGGGGGCTGGCCAGCTGCCCGTGAGATAGTCGTACAAATTGGCGACGTTCATGCGCATCACTACGGGGGCCATGCCTTCCTGGCCCACGTCCATGGGATAGCGGTCGGTCAGGTCGGTGAGGTTCGAAATCGCTTCGTCCTTGGTCATGCCACGCTCGATGCCGCTCTTGACGTACTCTTTCCACTCCTGCACCAAGGCCGACTGCTCGTTGAGGTAGCCCTTGTCGCAAAGCTCGCCGTGGCCGGGGACGAAGATGTCCTCGTCCAGCTTGCGCAGCGACTCTAGAGCCGTCAACCACAGGTCGGGGTTCCCCTCGTGTATCCAAGTCTGCACGCTGCGGAAGATGTTGTCGCTGGTCCACACCACACCCTCTTCCTTGATGCAGACTGCTGCTTGGTAGAGGGTGTGCCCCGGCATGTGAATCATCTCGATGGTGTGGTTGCCCACATGAAGGGTCATCCCGTTCTTGAAAGTGACCATTGGGGCGTTGGCCTCGTAGCCTTCCAGAAGGGCGGGCTGGTCTGGGCCGAAGAGGCCCACGCGACGAACATGCTCCGCCATGTCGGTGCCCTGTATGCGGTCAGTACACCTCATGTGCAACGACAGGAGCATTGAAAAAGGCGTTGCCCGACCAGTGGTCGGCATGAGGCTCCGTGTTGATGATGTAGCGTAGGGGTCCCTTGGACTCCATCTCGGCCTTGAGGGCCACGGCATCGCTGCTTGTGAGGGGAATCGAACATAACGAGGCCCTCAGAGGTGACCAAGTAGCCAAAGTTGCATCCGCGGGCCGTGGTCTCGGCAAAAACATTGCTCGTAACTTGCTGCACGCTACACCTCCCGGCGATCTGGTTAATTGGAGTGTAGCCGCCCCCCTTGGGGGCGTCAATCTCACACGTCAGGGGTCAGGGGGAGGATGCGGTAGAGGCCCTCCAACGGATGAACACGAGGGCCTTTGTCATCGATAGTAACCAAGGCGCCTCGCAAAAGGTTTTCCTCTAACGAAGGCAGATGGGACGCCAGGGCTTGATAGATCGTCTCAATGGAAGGGTCTCCCAACCGTAAGGTGATGAGGGAGGGCTCGGGCCTGCGGGACTTCAAGATGATTTCGGCGATGCCTAGGTCCTTGGTCAAGACTACGCGATGGTTGTGGATGGCACTGGCTACGATATCCGTGTCCGGTGACTGATGCGGCAGAATCGAACCGGACCAGACGGCATCATGCCCCGCATCGTTCAGGAATCTGGCTATGGTCTCAGGTAGGTTGACATCGACAACTATCCTCATCCAGCGTCGTGGTCAACCCTTTGATAGCCGGTTACCCAAGCACCCCACCTAGCGCATTGACGTATGTCGGCCTCCACGAGGCCTGGGTAGTCCCTCAGGATATCGGCAACCTCGCACCCGCTGGCAATTAGCCCGAGGATGTTCGCCACCGTCTGACGAGTGTCCTTCACCCTCAACTGGCCGCCACAGTAATTGAGATCACGGTCCAGCCGGTCCCACATGTCCGCGGAGTACTTGTTGGCGGGTTTGGGGGTCGTCATAGCTCTCCCTTCATGCGTCGTGGGGTCGGTTGGTGTGCGCTGGCCGCGATACGTGTGGTGGCTATGCGGACGGCCTACTCGTTGGCCATTAAAGGGCCAAGTCCGGGTGCTCAACCAGCCATAGCGCGTACCTAGCGCAGCGTCGCACGTGTACGTCTTCCAGATCGGGATGCATGCGGAGTATGTCGGCTGTGTCGTACCCATCGGCAATCAGATTCAGGATGGACTCCACGGTGATTTCGTTCCCTTGAAGCCGCGGCTTCCCACTGCATATTTTGGGGTCGACTTCGATCCCTTCCACATCGGCATGTACTGAAGGGAGCACTCTCATACAGCGTCATAGTTCTCTCTCGGTCACACTTCCGTAACGATATATCAATTATCCCCTGCCTCCACTCTGGCGCGCAAACGCCCTGTATCAAACACCAGGACCTTTCGATTATCAGAGGCCCGTAGCGTCCTGACGTTCGTCCTGAGCGAAATGGGATGGTCCGCGCGGATAGCTCGTCATCCCACGTAGTCGAAGGGCCTGTCCTGAGCTCTGTCGAAGGGCCTGCCCCGGACTCGATCCGTGGTGGGGCTGTGGCCCGCCCACGCCCCGCCACCCTCCATGACATTCCTCCATTGACTCATCCGCACATCAGTTCTATATTTAACTTACACGCCGAGGCCGCACCCAAAGGGTCTTTGGTTTCACTTTTCGCAGTCAGTCTCCTAAGGAGGGATCATGGGCCGCAAGCGCAGCATAAAGACCCGCAAGGGAAGCGCGACCGAAAACCCCAGCGATGACACGCCTGTCGACGCCGACACCATCCCCGCCGAGGACAGCAAATCCAAGTTCCTCGCCGCCCGTCAGTTCGGCGTTTCCGCCGCCGAAGCCGCCCGCTGGGCCGGCATCCCTAGGACCACTCTCTACCGCTGGCGCCGTACCGACCTCGATTTCGCCCATGCCTGGCTTCACCCCGATGACTACGACAACGTCGCCCAACGCCTCCAGTTCGAAGCCTTCAAGCGCGCCATCCATGGCAACGACCGCCTCCTTATCTTCCTCCTCAAGTCCTTCTTCCCCGACACATTCAACGAGCGCCGTCGGTCCAAATTGCTCGACCGGGAAAGCAATGAAGATACATTCAGGGCCCTCATGGGCATGCTTCGCCGGAATGAAGAACCCCCTGAAGACTGCGACACCTCTTTCGATGAAGACTGCGACACCCCTTCCGACTCCCATGAACCCTGCGACGACTCTTACCACGAACAAATTCCGGATCAGAGTGCAGCCCCCGTTTTCCAACCTGGACCGTGCTATCCCAACGATGAGGACTCCCATCCCCCTGAAACCCTGCAAGTGGCACACCACGGTGCCACCCATCGCCCCTCAATTCATATCTGAACAAGCTCGAATGGCACAAATGGCACACATCGCAGCTACGAAACTTTTCACTTCAGCTACAACCACTGTGCCACTGACGCACAGTTCATATCCGGAAGCCCACTCCCCCGGCCCTGAAATAGCCCCAGAATGGCACACCCTGTCCCATCCACCCCACAACGGCTTGACAGCCCACGCTACCTCTACCTAGCATCCTCTCAAGTCCCCTCTCCCCCGGCGGAGGGGGCGGGGGTGAGGGGTGGAACCCCCCATTTCAAGGGAGGCAAACCATGCAGGTGCTCACGGGCGCGACTCTTATCGACGGCACTGGCCGGATCCCGGTATCCGACGTGACCGTGGTGCTGAACGACGCCGGACGCATTGAGGAAGTCGGCCCCCGCGCAGCCGTCACCATCCCTCCCGGAGCCACCACTTACGACGTCACGGGCTTGACCCTCATGCCTGGGCTCATCGACTGCCACGACCATCTCTCCTCCCACGGCACCAGCCTTGCCGAACGGTTCGCCTTGGCCGAACCCATCAGCACGGGGCATGTGCGCACCGCCAAGGTGCTGGAGCAGGTCCTGCGCACCGGTTACACCACAGTCCGCGACGGTGGCTGGCTGGACGTCGGTTTCAAGCAGGCCATTGAGCAGAAGCTCTCAATGGCCCTCGCCTCGTGCTGGCCACCAGCCCCATCTCACCCATCGGCGGGTTGGCCGATCGGGTCTCCCCCTCCGGCCACTCCTGCTATGCAACCCCACGGCTACAATCGACCCCAACCTGCCAGATGGGGTGGCTACAGGCACGAACGAGGTGCGCCGCAAGGTGCGCGAGATGGTGCGAGCAGGGGCCGACGTGGTGAAGTTCGCCACCACGGCCGGAGCTTCAAGCCGCGTCGGCCATGGCCCGAAAGAGGTCGAGTTCGACCGCGACGAAATCGATATGCTGGTGCAGGAAGCCAACGCCTTGGGACGCCGCGCCATGTGTCACGCCCTTGGAGGCCCCGGCCTGCGGATGGCCATTGAAGCAGGCGTGCACTCCATCGAGCACGGCACCTACTTGGACGAAGACCCGGACCTGCTTCCCATGATGGCCGACAAGGGCATCTTCTTCGTCCCCACCTTCACCGTGTACGTCTACCACGGCACCCAAGGGACGCCCCATGGCCGGGTGCGGGCGCAGGCTTTGAAGGAGCACCACGCCGAAAGCCTGCGCCGGGCCGTCTCCTTAGGGGTCAGGGTGGTGGCTGGCACCGATGCCGGAGCTTGGGACCACCCTCACAATGCCCGGGAGATCGAGTGCTTGGTGGACGCAGGCATGACGTCCATGCAGGCCATACAGGCGGCCACCGGAGTGGCCGCCGAATGCCTGGACATGCAGAAGGACATCGGCACGCGTGGAGAAGGGCAAACTGGCCGACCTGATCGCCATAGACGGCGACCCCCTCCAAGACGTGCGCCTGCTGCAAGATGCCAGTAAGCTGCGCCTCGTCATGAAGGGAGGCGTCCCAGTCGTCGACCACCTCTCCGAGTCCCGCGCTTCAGCGCCAGTGGCTAACTAATAGGGGCTCACCCCCGGCACCCTTACCTGGATAGCGCAGATCACGGGCGAGCCGTGATGTACAGCGTCATCATGTCGATGTTGCCAAAGGCGATATTGGTCGGCTGATGGGGCACCGGTATCGTGCCTAGGTGATTGGCCTGCGGGTCGATGACCCAGATGCCACCGCCCCCTGTGCAGTACACGTTGCCGTCCACGTCCACCTTCATGCCGTCGGGGCTGCCTGTGGCTTCCACGTTCATGTCGATGAACACGCGGTCGTTGCTCACAGAGCCGTCGGCGTTCACGTCGCACACTCGGATGTTGCGGTTGACGGTGTCGTTGACATAAAGCAGAGACTCATCGGGCGACAGGGCGAGTCCGTTTGGCCGGCCGAAGTCGTCGAACAGGCGGTTCACCGTGCCGTCGGTGTTGATGCAGTAGACGCCGTTGCAACCCTGCTCGCCTGGGTCGGGGTCGATTCCGTACGGCGGGTCGGTGAAATAGATGCGCCCGCTGGAGTGGCACACATATGTCGTTGGGGCTGTTCAGCTTCTTGCCGTCGTAGCTGTCGGCGACCGTGTTCATGCTGTGGTCGGCGCCCATGCGGGAGATGCGACGCCCGCCGTGCTCGCAGGCCAACAGGTTGCCCTGCTTGTCGAGGTGAGGCCGTTGGCGTTGCCGCTCGGCTTCAGGTAGGCCAGGGTCTGTCCGCCCGGCTCCCAACGGTAGACCGTGTTGGCGGGGATGTCGGTGAAGAGCAGGAAACCGTTGGTGTGCCACAGCGGCCCCTCGGTGAACTTGAAGCCGTGGCCTATAACTCGTGGCTCGGACTCGAATAGCAAGTCAGAAAGCTGGGCGCACATACTTCCTCCCTTTCGTTGGTCATCTAGGCGGCTTGAATGGTGTCAACGTAGACCCGATTCAGTGTCAGTTCAATCCCCCGGCGTAAGTCCAGCCAGCCAGTCCGACAAGCAGCCAACCCGGCGGCCCACCCGACAAACTGCCCCTTGGGCGCCACCTTCTCCAGCAGAACGAAACCGGCGATGACGGCGACCCACAGCAGGTTCATTACGCCGGTGACGAACAGCAGCGGCCATCAACACCCAGCAGCAGGCGACGCAGAATGCCCCGTGCCTGATGTCCCATCGCCAAGG